AACACTGGCAAGTAAATAATATACTTCGACGTCATTTTGAGCACCTGATTTAGCAGTTTATTTTATCCATCCCAATGCTGCATGATTTATCAAACATTTTAGCACCATATGTTGGGTACCATATAATACAATGGATCAACATTTTTAAACCAATAACCCGAACAAGACTTCTCTTTTGATTACTTTATTTCTATACGTGTTTCTGGAATAAGGCAAACGGAAATCATGTTTCTGATTGTTTTAAAACATCCACGAAGAAGCTCTCCTGGCTCTTTTGAGCTTCGATGTTTTCAAATCTAACGCTTCTGTTTCTTTCTGATATTTTTTTTTGAAAGCTGCTGGAAAGTAGCGGATTTGGTGCAGATCGTGGCTTATCGTCACTCAGAGATGCTCATCGTCGGACTTCAAAGCAAGAACTTAGCAGAAAAGTCAGGGAACTCAAAGCAGAACTGCTCAAGATGTGGAACTCGCAAGGTCGGTCGTCACCTTCTGAAATGAACCCTGATTTCTGAGATGACACGTCTTCAAGCACAACAAAAGCACTGTTTACACTGCATAGCAATTCAAAAGTTCTCGGATAAGGTATTTCTATCTGATCACGAGCATACATTATACACCACTCCCTCAGCCCTGCTACATAACGCACTTTTTGGCGAACATTTTTGCGTTTTTTTTTTTTCTCGGATGAGCACGTTTTATCACTGTTTCGAAGAGCTTTTCACTTACTCACGCTTTTATAAGCTTGTCGAAATGAGTTGGATTTTTAATGCTTCGATTTCATGTGAGTGGATTGGATGGCTTTCAGATGGTGTACAGCCGGATAAACTCGACGAAGAAGCCGGAAATATGGTGAGTCCATCTGGTAATGCACGATTATATATAGAGGAATAATCTTAAAGTTTTGTCGATACTGTATCTTCAACATGAGATTTTTGGTTATTGCGGTTTCGGAGTCAAACTCTTCCAAAACACCGAGGTTTGGAATAAATTTGAATAAGAAGATACTGTATGCAAATTTTAAATCAGAAAGCTTCTTTTATTTTACAGCATTCGCTACAGATTTTCTTGAAGTGCAGTTCACATTTTCAACGACGACTAACGCAAAAATGGGAATTTTAGTAAAAAATTCACGAGCTCAGTTCAAAGCATCGCTTCATATTTTATGCATTGATTTTAAGACTGGGATATTTTTAATAAGAATATTCTCCAATTAAAGATTTAAAATATTTGTCTTCTCTCAAACTAACTATAGACTACATGCAAAGTCGTATACCATGGTATCGTGACGAAGAAACCTCATTTGTTGGGTTCATACGCTTCCAATTTGCTTCTCTTCTCCATCTGTGTGAGCAAATCGTAGGAACAAGTCCAAGAAATTGTTAATTTTACGGAGAACAATTTCTATGCGTTTTTATTTATCCAAAAAGACTTCAACTAAGGGCAGCCGAAAACCGACAATAATAGCGATTACCTCAATTAAGTTTTCCCTGTTAACTAGAGTTTATTTTTTGAACCCGTGGAGCTCTTTTTGAACAACTATCTTTTTCAAGGAGCCCCTTTAAAAATGCACGTCTGTGCTGGAGGAGCCCCTTTGTCCAACATGCACTCATCCCTCTCGAAAATCCTCTACTTTAGGTTACAAAAATATCAAAATAGTCTTCGAAGCGATTATATATTGAATTATGGACGCATGAATTCTGGCTAATTCATTGAAATCTCTTATGCTAGACCTAATCCTGCTTTAATTTAATGAAAAGCTTCTGAAACTGCGGCAAAGCAATAGGGAAATCCACGAGGAGCCCTTAGGGCTTCGTGGAGCTCAGATTAATATCGGATGTCTTGAAAAATATATTTTTTGTTACATATTCTAGGGTGAAAGAAGTTGGCAAGACCCGAGATTGAGTGATTCGTCGCCTTCGACGAGTGGGAAAAACGGCCTGGATTCCGCATCAGCCACGTTTCCCAGCAAGAAGTCAACTTTCAACGACGTCGTCAGTGACGATCAAGTCGCCGACGACCTGCTAGAGGACCCTCCTTCATTCCGCGAACTCCCAGCTGACGAAGACTTCGAGGAGGACTCGACGTCACTCAGCTGCTCCAAAGCCAGCAACAAGGACCAGCAGTCTCGGGCCGAAGACCCAATGGACGACGACGAGAGCGAATGTCAACCGACGCGGCATCATCATCATCATCGTCATCGTCACGGCCAGCACTCGTCCACAGAGTCGTCAGTGGTCGACCATCAACTCAGTCCCACCAAGACTCCGTCTTGGATGCAGAATGACGAATTCGATGACGCGAATAACGCGACGCAGTTCGTCATCGCTTTGCCGTCGCCGTCGGCAGCCGGGGGTTACATGAGGAAAACATCGTCGGACTTGACGTCTTCGACTTCGGATAGGACGCATTCGCCGAGCAAGCAAAGCTCTGACGGGGATTTCAGGGCATTGACGGATTCCGGAGAAGACAGTCTGCAGTTGTTTGAGCACCAGTCGTCGTCGCAGCAACGGGATGACGAGACTCCTCCGCCTTGCGAGGAGTTTTTCTTCTCCCTCCCGATCGGGTTCTCGCAGGGGTTTCAACTTGTCCAGGTATGAAAATCCTTCCCACCTGATGATATCCCATTTAGCAAACTAAATGCAGCATTTTAGCACATACGCCAAGGTCTGTGAGATATTGTGTTGGATTACCATATAGATTATTGCTACAGACGAACTCAGATGTGGCCAGCAAGGACCACATCAGCACTTTTTTGTGGCCGAGGGTCTCAGAGGACAATAATACTGCATATATCTCGTAAAACGAAGATGAGACTTGTGGTAAATTTGTCCATGAAAAATGTATTTCCAAGAGGCTCCAACTTTACCCTTTCAGTGAAGTATTTGAAATGCAACCCTTTGCTGGTGGCGGTGCCGGGATATTTTGACAGGAATTCCTCAATAGGTATTGTATTTTAAATAATAAAAAATATTGCACTGGCAAATACTGTATAGCCAAAGCCGAGAAATGTCTTCATACAGTATTGGTTTTCTATCTGTTAGAAAAAAATTTGGGAGAGCAAAAACAAAGCTCTACCAATAAAGGCTGGGTTTTTTCAACATTTCCCTTGGTGGATCTGCTGGATGCCACCAAGTTTGCCGATTTTCTTCATCTGCCTTATTCAAATATTTCCCGCCTTGGATCATTCTGCCTTGATGCCATTTTGATGACCTTTGATCAAAATAAAATTCACTGGCCTGCAAAAAAATAAATCCTGTCACCGCTGCGCAATGGAAAAGAACCCTATTTTGCTGAAGGGTTAATTAAATTCTATGCATTGAATCACAGCATGCATGGAATAGTGGAATTTTTTTTAACATTTCCAAATTCACGGATTCATCTTTTGAGGTGTTCTGAATTCAATGGATTCTGCTGCTGCCACCTTGAAAATTGTAGGGAAGGGACTACGGGACTATAATGGAAAGCATCTCTCCGGGCCGGATCCGGCCCGCGGGCCGTATTTTGGCAACGCTGGTATAGACCTTACGATTCTGTCCCTCGAAGTCAACTTTGCTCGTTACATCCGATTCCAGAATAGATTGCTGTCAACGTATGCAAAGACTGAAGAATGTAGACCGCCGATTACACCTGAAATGCCAAAATAAATGTGTAATTTGCATTGTCAATTGTTGTGTTCGTATCAAATCATGATGTATACTGTCATATCCGCTTTTGGTAGACAGATGATCGATGATTTTTATTCTGAATTTGAGATCATTTGATTCAATGACAGCAAGAGGTTTTTTTTTTATGCCGAAATTGGGAAAACGGGCCTTCATTCATATTTGCTGGTACAGTATTTGGATGCCTCATTGGCAGTACGAAAACTGGATTTTGAACTGCAAAAACAAATTTTTCCATTTTTAGGATACACACCAACCAAGACAGTCTTCCCATTGACAAATTTTGAACCTTTTTTTTTTTGCATTCGAAACTGTATTGTTCCCTTTTTCTGCCAGCGAACGGAAGCAGACGAAGGCGAAGACACATCACAAGTCGAAGCAAGGGGCACGAACAAGAGACGAATTTCCAGGGACATGTTTAGCAGGCAAATTGCTTTCGACGACGGACGTGGATTTGCAAACCTAGGGAAGCAACTTTCCGGGGCTTCTGAAGACACGTACAAGGCTAGTGATTCCCCGACCGGAACTACGACGTTGACGCTGTCGAGGCAGAATTCGGAAACTTCGACGACGAATGCTGTCAATAATGATGGTTCCGGTCTGGCTCACCGAGAAACAATGAGTGACACGGGCGATTTCGGGCAATCGCCTGCTATGTCGGCGTCAGCGAATCACGACACGTGTTTCGCTGAACGATTCAATGCGTTATCTCGCTCAGGTGAGAAAAATATTAAGAAAAAACAGAATATAATATATACAGCATATAGAATGTGTCTAAAGCAGATAGTAAAAATAATTTCCACGTTTATTTTTTTTTACGTACAATCAAATTTGAATTCAAGGAACTCCTTCAGAAAAGTTACAATTTGAATTTTTTTATGGTATGAAATGTACACGTCCTTATACATTGCTGTATACTGTATATACATAGCTTACAGAATATTTCAAGGAAAATGTAAATGACGAGGAATGTGATGATATTTTCTGCGAGCTATACTCATTGGTTAAAAAAGACTTAACTGAAGAAATCACAACTTCAAAGAAGGCTCTGCTAATTTACTGCAAATATTCAATGGCATCCAAAGTATCAGACTTTGAGAATTAACTGACATTCCAAGAAAACTTCAACACTCTGTACGGTACAAGTAATTTTGAGATCAGCAATTGACAAGACAAGATTGTCCTAAAAATTGAAAATCTTAGTTTTATTTATGTTTCGTAAATTTTTTCGAACTATTTGGAGTAGAGTATTTTGGTGTTTTTTTTTAAGCAAAAAATTCCCAAAGGTGCGAGATCTATGCTGAAGTCTTTGATCTTTGATGCAGAAGTTTTTGATACAGATGAAATCTTTGATCATTATGATTGGTTGAACATGCAACATTTTATCTTCTGTCGATAAAAATCAGTGTAGGCAAAAATTGCAACACTGATCAATGCTCTCTTCGTCGATTTAATTAGGCTAAATGGAGATAAGTACGTCCTACCAAAACCTTCGTATTGTATCCGATGCTTGTTCGAAGGACGAGCTTTTGAAATACGTGTGTCATGTGTATCAAAAAAGTTGGGTAATTTTTTCATTGCGAGAAATGTAAAGTTTTCATTGCACTGAATTTCACTCCTGTATACGAAACCTCAAACCAATCGATGAATAAAAATCAGTGCAGGAATGCGATAGTCTGACGAGGAACGGGAGAAAAGCTGGGCGTCGTAAACAAGAATTCTGCAGAAACAAAGAAAAAAATCTTCCATGATCGAAAAAAAAAAAAAACTTCGACGGGTTTCGAATTTTCCGAGACATTTAAAGCAAGCCATCCTGTTTTTTTTTCCTCCCCTCTGGTTCCTTCGCTTCCGGATACCTTCCGTGGCGTGTGTGTCTTTTTTTTTTTAGCCACGGAAGTAAACTCCAGGTCAACGGGAGCCGGCTGCATTTTCTCCTCAGCACAGGGGGAGCCGAGGCTCATAGACAGGCCGGAAATCGTGCCTACGCAAATCAGGAAGTTATTTTCGACGCAGCAAAGTTCTCCACAGACCTCCAGGTGTCGACTCGGACTTCCGGCGCCTACTTCCGACGACGATGACGTCGACGCGGACTCCAAGATCCCGAGTGCTGCTGGGGACGACGCTGAAACCCAGAGCATCGTCAAAGTCATTGTGCCAACGACAAAATCCTTCTTCAAGTTTCCCCAGGACTCGAACAGCAGACCCCCTGCAAGGTCAGCAAATTATGATTTTGGATCATTAATAGCCANTTTCTGAAGGGTACTCGTCGCAAAATGGAAGACCCTGGAAAGACTTCACCGATTGAAAAGAAGGTTGGTTCAAGTACTGTATAGTGTATACCGTATTATCATCATATTTTCATATCAGTATAATATATAGGAAACCCGAAGGCTTGTGGATAGGAATCTCCATCAGCAGTCCGAGTAAATATTTACTCCTGAAATGAGAAGTATTTTTGGGAGGATATCTACGCACATCGTCACAATAAGTGAAGCGGACAAAAACAACGGTAGCACTCAAGAGTATATCCAGAATATATTTGCATTCAATTATGACGCTGGTTTTCCGTTAATGGAACTTGAACCAACGTCAATCAACATTCATGGTTTCCAAAAGGCTTGGAAGTCATATAGTGTCAAGGTTTTTTTATTCTGTGAAACCTAGCACAGAGTTAACTTCAATTTCCTGCCGTGAAAGTAACGTGAAAAAGGCTTGAAAATTATGCCCAAAATTTGCATTGCAGGTGGACTCTCTTTACTATGAAATTCAAGGAACCAGATCGTTGTAGAGAGAATTTATTCGTAGAAACCTCGTATAACATGGGAATGTTACCTTATTTGTTCCCTATACCGCGATTGGACTGAAGAAAAAACTAGTTATTTGTATAGAGAATAAATTTGTCGTAGACAAGATTGTTGTAGAAAGAGTTCACCTAGCTGCATGTATAACTGTCCCATGGAAAAAATATCGTTTCCGATTACGATTGGAAAACCATCATAAAAAAGTATTTCAGCGAATCTGAGTAGATTCATTGAAGTCGAGCACAAGCAAATCAGCGGG